GCGATCAGGAGCTGAGGTGAGGGGGAACTGAGAGTGTAGACCTCAGGGGTCACCCCAGTTGGCAGTGCTGGTCCGCCGCGCCCGCCATGTTTGCTTCTCAAGTCGGGGACAGCCCTGCGGGCTGAGCGGGAGCCAGGGAGTGGGTCTCAATCCTGGAGGGACCCATAGAGGGTTAACAGAGGGTCAACGGAGGGCCCATGGAGGATGTGGGAGGCCAAGACCCACTCCAGTGCCAAGTTAGGACCGCAAGAGCCATGTGGCGCCTCTGTTCCAAAGACGGAGGGACGTCAAGGCCCCAACGGGCCTTAGGGTACTTTCCCGGAAAGACCTGTCCTGGAAGGGCGGTGCTGGTGGGGGGGACTCTCCTAAGTGAAGGGCTTTGTGATAACGTTGGACGTGCTGACCCAGGATTCAAGATGCTAAAATGAGAGGCCGGGAGGTTGGGGGGTGGTGCCCACTGATCCGGCCACAAAGCACCGCCTCCACTGGGTCTCGAGGAGGTGGGGTCTGCTGTGGGACCTAATTATCTCAAGTCAATAAAGAACATGGTCCAGGGCTCATGCCAGGAATCTAAAAGGAGGCTCAAGGGAACACTTACCCCTGAAAAGTTGGTGGTAGGTACCATTGAGTCACCTATGAGTCCTAATGACCCTGTGAACAGTAAAGAGGCCTGCCCTGCCCTGGACAGTAAGAGTTCAACCCCTGGAAGGCCGAGGTAGGTGTACTTGGCATCCTTTGATGTTCTTCTGTTGGGTTCCATGTAGCTATGAGGTGGCTCCTTAAAAATAGGAGAGGATGGGGGTGCCCCAAATATGCCCAACAGTTTCTTTGTTCTCCTTAATGTGAACAGAAGGAGCACTCCCACCCAAGACAGAGGGTCCCATCATCTCCACTGTTGTGAGCCCCAGTTAGGTACAGAAAAGGCTGGAAGATGGCAGACTGAGTTTCACTGTGACATCCTCCCGCAGGTTCTGGGGGTGGCTGGGCAGGCAGATGGGAGGCTAGGGGTGACTAGTGCAGGGCCCCCAGGAGACCCTCCCAAGGGCCTTCCTAACGCCGAGCTGCCGGCTCCCTGTGGAGGGACTCAGGTTCTCTTGTCTTTGTCTTCCAGTGAGCACAGCGGCTGCCCTCTTGGCCACACTCCTACCTACTGTCCCTGAGCAGCCATCATGCCTCGTGGGCAGAAGAGCAAGCTCCGTGCCGAGGAAAAGCGCCGCCAGGCCCGAAGGCAGAACCAGGGTCCGCAGGCCTCCCTGGAGCTCTCTCCTGAGCCTGAGGGCACACCCCAAAGCTCTTCTACTGCTGGTAGCCCTCAGGAGCCAGTCCCGGGTCCCAGCACTCAGGGTGCAGCACTGGCTAGAGGTGCAGCACAGGCTGAAGGTGGACATCGCTCCCAACCAAGAGCTCGCAAAGAGAAGAACAGAGCTGATGAAGGGCCGAGCTCGGAGAACACCGCGAGCTCCTGTAAGTCCAGAGATCCTCTCAACACCAGGTCCTGTCTCCTGATGCAGTTGATGCTTCGCAAGTACAAAATGGATGAGTTCATCACCAAGGAAGAGATGTTGAAGACCATCACCCGAAAGTACAGGAAGCAGTTCCCGGAAATCCTTAAGGTCACCACCAAGCGCCTGGAGCTTGCTTTCGGCATCTACCTAAAGGAGCAACACCCCTGTGGTCACGTCTACTCCCTCGTCTGCAAGCTAAACCTTCCCAGCAATCCCACCGCAAGTGGTCAGAGAGAGTTGCCCAAAACCGGGCTCCTCATGCCTCTGCTGGGTATGATCTTCATTAATGGCAACAGAGCCACTGAGCAAGAGCTCTGGGAATTCTTGAATAAGCTGGGGGTCTATGTTGGGGAGGAGCACCTCATCTTTGGGGAGCCCAAGAAGCTGGTCTCCAATTTTGTTCAAGCAAAGTACCTGGAGCACAGGCTCTTAGCTGGCAGCTGCCCTCCACGTTTTGAGTTTCGGTGGGGCCCCAGAGCATACGCTGAAGTCAGCAAGATGGAAGTCCTGGAGTTTTTGACTAAAACCAACAGCACCAACCCCAGTGATTTCACAGCCGAATATCAAGAGGCACTGGCAGAGCAGCAAGAGAGAGCCAGAGCCAAAGGTGCTGCTGAAGTTGGTCCTGCTGCCCCAGGAAAGGCCAAGGCCAAGGCTGCTGGATCTTCCACCCCCTAGGGAAACGAGAGGGGATTCCCTACTTTGTGCTTAATAAAGTCTGTTAATCTCAGTAGTGGAAGACATGGTGGGAATGAGGAGGGGTAGGATGCATTCAGTTTATCTTCCCCCTATCTTCTGTTTTCAGTTTTTTCACGTTCTTCCTTGTAATAGCTAATTCAGAATCTATGTCATATCGATCACCTGTTTATTGCTATTCATCAGGCTTAAGAGTGCTATTTTGTGTTTTGCCAGCCAGCATAGTGTTACAATAGAGATCTTCCTGAACTTGCAAAAGCACCTCAGATAGTGAGGGTGACGAGATGGAGAAATAAGAAGCCAGAGGTGATCAGTTGTTTGCTACCTGTAGTCCTTTCAGTCTCTCTTTAGATACAAATAAAAGTTATACACCTGTTTTGTTTAGCTTGTAGAGATACAAGAGAGAGATTAAATTGCATGAAAAGCAACCTGTTGTTGGCTGGTTCTTCCCCCCACCCCTAACATTTAATTGAGCATTTGGTATGTGTGCTTTCTGGGTTAGAGAATACGCGGCTGCAGCCCCAGGTACTTAAGGTGAGTTAGACTATCCCCTGGAAGTTAGATGGTGCAGGTCATGCAAGGAAAAGAAGGGGCCGGAGCGGGGGGTGGGGGGGCGCAAGGGAAACAGGACATCTGGGGGCTCTGGGGCCCAGCAATTCCTTCAATGGGGGGGGTCATTCTAAGTTGGAGTCTCTGGTTGGTGCAATCAGTGAATCATTTAGTGGCTAACAAAGCATTGACCGTTCAGGTCCTCTGAGAGGCTCCTTGGAAGAAAGGCCTGGTGACCATCTGGAAACTGAGCCAATGAAACCTGATGGAGCACAGTTTTCTGGAGTTGCCAGCAGTCAAAGCCCACTAGATGACAAG